GTGTACCGATCACACAAGGATAGAAATTATTTTCATTTATTAATTTTTTTAATAAACGAAAATTTCCAGCCAGGTGGGATTCGAACTCACGACCTTTAGGTTTAAAGGCAGGCGCTTTACCACTGAGCCACAGAGGGGTTAATATGTTGTTTTAAAACAATTGTTATATTTCGCTTTAAAATATTATACCAACAGCCTAAATAATAACAACCAGCCGCAGTCGTTTAAAGTTAAAATATCAAACTCCTTTGTTAAAAAGACATACAATATTTTGCTGACCAGAATTTTGACTATCAAGCAACAGCTCGAATATTTTATATAATAAACAATAGGTTTCGTTATTTAATAATGTAATTTTTTGTCGGCATTGATGACACCAACATACGAGTAATCGCAAAACATATTATGTTACCTTTTCGTACACTATCTGTGATAAAAGGAATTTAAAGATTTCTTTAATCAATTGCCGAACTGACAACACAGAAAATTCACAGTTTTAAATAATATACTTTCGTATTTTACCATTAAAGATAAAGCCTCTAGTTTGGTGCAATTTTATTTATTTAAATGAATATTTAAATATTTAAATAAAATTTTAATATAAGTGTAATATTAAATTTTTCATCTTTTATTAAAATCAGGACAATTCCAGAGCGAAGAAGTCGTCTGCTGGGAAAGAATGTACAAAATATTTTATTTTTACATTGTAATTATGACCTCTGAGCACGTGTCAAATGTGTTTTTTTAATGAATATTTTGATTCGGTATGTATGTTTATGGTATTGTTCGTAATGCGCATAAGTCCAGTTTTTCAAATTTTTATTACATATTTTTGTGCGTCTTATAGAGTCTTTAAGCATATACCCGAACTACTATATTCGCTAAAACGACACTCAATCCTAACTGCAAGACGCAAGAGTCTCGCAGGCTTAGTCTTGTTCTTGCTTAAGTCTTGCAAGGTCAGTCTTGGTCTTGCTAAAATTAGGCGGTCTTGGTCTTGCAAAAACGCAAGAACAAGACCAAGATCGATTTTGGGCAACACTAATATTTTAAATATGTCCACGTTAATAACAATTTCCGTTTCAAAAAGCAGTAAGATCTCTTTTCTTAAAGAAAAACATTTCTAAGGCATTTACTTGCACTCAACCAACGTATCTCTTAATGTAGAGAGACATCCTTATATTCAGTATTTAATTCCTCCAAGAAAGAGATGAATTTTCGGTGTCGTTGAGCTCTGTTTCCTCCTCTTAAGCTGTTTACTATCTGCACTACAGTTTTCATAGTATCATTGATTTTAATTATCTTTCTGCAGAGAGCCTCTTGATGGATAATGCAATGAAACATAACACAGTTAACACCATTTTCCCGCAAAAGTCTAGCCAATTTCGTAATGCGTCCCGTCATTGCTTTTGCTCCGTCGGTGCAAGCTGCAAGAGCACTTTTGAAAACCGCCTATATTTTTCACAGCGTCACTAACTGCTTCAAATATATTTAAACTCTTTGGTCCCGTCTTCCATGTGGTGCAGTTTTAGAAGTTCCTCAGTTACACAAAAATCTTCACTGATACATCTAGCAAAAATTAATAGCTGATTTTTGTCAGTAATATCAACCGATTCGTCCAGGGCTAAGGAGTAGCACAAACAATCACGAACTGTGTCGACCATTTTTTTAAATACATGAATATTCAGCTCATCAACTCTTCCAGATACAGTTTGATGGGAAACTGTAACACATTCAAAATTTTTGGCCATATTTTCATCCTTTAACGGCACACTGATTGATCATTTCTCCATCTTTAAATGCTTGTTTACTTTTGACAAGCTCTAAACATACTTCATATGATGCTGCTAAGCTTAATGATTGAACAGCTGTCGGTTTTGTAAATAGAGATTTTTGAGTATTGCGAGCTTCACCTTGATATTTGTCGTATTTTGTTTTGTGCTGGGTTTCATAATACCTACTAATATTGTATTCTTTTGATACCACGAGTACTTAACAACAAATAATGCATAGAGGTTTGCCTTTTAATTCGATGAAGAAATATTGATTTTCCCATTTTCCTTGGAACGTACGATTCTCTTCGAAAATTTTGCGTTTCTTTGGCACTAATTAACTATTTAACATTCAATTTATACAAGATGATGTAGGACATCTAATTAGCGAAGACCAAAGCGGATTTACGCCTGGTAGATCTTGCACTGATAACTTGTTTATACTCCAACAATTAATAGAAAAACGAATAGCGGTTGGTAACGAAGTACATCTAGCCTTCATCGATCTAGAAAAAGCATATGATACAGTACCAAGGCCTAAATTGTGGCAAGCTTTACAACAACTCGGCATTAGTCCACACCTTTTAGGAATAATCACAGAAGTATACAGGGATAACACCACTTACCTAAAAATCGGAAATAGACTATCAGAGCCGATAAAAGTAACTAAAGGACTGAGACAAGGATGCAGTATGTCACCTTTACTGTTTAATTTATATATTGGGGTTATTTATATATTCAGTTGGGGGCAATGAGGAAATGTTGGTCTTATTTTTGAATGATGAAGATACGTATTGTTTATATCTTAAATCGTTTAGTTTTGTCTCTTTTTTCCATAAAAAGCCGTGAGAAACATGTTTCCTGCTGTGACAATCTCATTTTGACTTGAATTAGGGTATTTGAAAGATTCAATTACCGATTGCAAATCTTTGTTCTTTTGCAGGACTTTAAGAAATTTCAGTTTCCCTTGATTAAACAATGCAGAAGTAGTATCATAACCACTCATCGCATGCAGGAATAAAATATGATCCAATAGGATTTTCTCAGCAGCCAGATGAGGGTTGTAGAGGCTTTGCGAAACCTTTCCTTTTGCTGACTTAAAAAAAAAATACATTTTTTATATCAGGGCTACAAAGGCCAATCAAAATGACCAGTAGGTCGATATCTTCTCCCACCACTGTCACATGTTCATTTGACGGGGCCATCTCAAGAGCTGTTGAGATAATTAGGATATCAGCATCTTCCACAGCTTGCTTTGAATGAATTTTTGCATCATGAAGTTTCTCCATTAACATAGATATAAACCGGCTCTTGTTTTTTGGGTTTGCAAGAAAACTATCCTGCGACACAGTGTGCACCATCATTTCTGTTAATAATATTACAGCAGATTATTTTCTTTGTGCTCTTCTCAATCGTTCTAAACGCTTGGTGCTACCACAAGCCTCGTCAGGGTAGCCATCAAAAACGACAATAGCACTTGATTTGTAGTTTGATTTGACATATGATACATAACTACTGCATATGTCTGCATATGTCTGACCTTGGCGCCATTTTACCCGGTGTAACAAAAAACCCCCGTCGATGACATATTTTGTATCGTTAAACTCAGTCTGTTCAGTAGGTGTAAAAGCCTTGTACAAACTGGATTTTGTTCCTTTCCTCATCCCATGCTCATCAAAAAGAGCAAGAGGATAGGGGCTAAGTTCGTAACGTAAAAACTCGCACGATGTCAAACTGACTCGCGTAGGTAGTCGTATAGTGTGTATGTGTGTGTGTGTGTGTGTGGGTGCCGAATGCCGATCGAGTGCCATCCAGTTTATAGTGCGCTACACGTACACATATTACAACGTCTACAACAGTTTATCACATTGTTGCCGTTTGGAATGTAAAGCGGCTTTAACTGCTTTTTAACTGAGTTATTTTGATTTTTTGCAATCTAGCTATAATATTTGAGTCAAAACGTGAATTATCCGTGTGACTCGGTCTTTATTTTAATTAACTTAAATACTAGGGAAATTAACTGAAAACCTTTCAATACAAATCTAAAAAGTGGGTTTTGCAGTCACACTGGTACAAATTGCCAATTTTCAACTTGCACTTGAGACCGAACAGTTCGTCTGTACAATAACCAAAATAGTGACATTTGTATAAAACTTTAAGTACTTTAATTTCTGTAAACAGACCATTTACTAAAAGTTAACAGTTTTCGAGTTTTAAGCAAAAAACCGAAAAAAAGCAAAAAAAAAACGATTTCTTCTGGTTTTTTTAAATGTGGCGTCACGAAATTTTGTCCGCAAACCTCAGATTCAGATTTAGCACCCCAAAACACATATGGAATGAAAAAATCAGAACTTCCCCAAAACTTTCCTACTAGTATCACTTTACAGTACAAATTTACTGAATTACATAAGTTCTACATGAGTTGATTATATTTTTGTCTTATATTATACCAGTGTTAATCCCATTGATAGATATCTTTTCTTTGTTGTCACCAGGTTTTTTTACCTTACTCTATAACTCTATTAATTATTATAAGTACCATGAAGTTCTTACTCCTTTTTTATTGGCTAATACTGACATTACTATAATATGCTTTGGTTATTCTGTTTTTACGACTATTTTTCCATTCCTTCGTTTTGGGGAACGTTATTTCAAAAAAGGTGTCTCTATTTTCCATTGCGTTTGTCTGATAGTGCTCCATATCCTTTCTGAAGGTGCCCCACTCGATGTGTCCAGACTAAATGTAAAAATATAACCTAAGAGTGCCATCAGTAATAAATGTAAATAGTACAGGTTATACAGCAATAAATGGACTTAAAACTGGTAGCAATGTTAATTATCCTAAGTCTTATCTTCTAATAAAAAACTCATCTTACCTTCAATCCAAAAATTTGACTTTCAACCACCAAAAATTAACTTTTCACTTTATGACATGAACCCTTTACTGCACTGTTCTACAGAGTGAACTACAATAATGTGAGTAGTAATGGAATGTTTTGATGTCAGTGTTGCCCACAATATCAATGTTTGAAGCTGCCCCCTTCACCCCTAACAGTGAGTTAGTAATGAAGGTTTTAAATAGTTCAAAATAAATTCATTAGTAATATAGACTCATATTTTTGTTCCGCCTTATGTTAAATTTAAATAAAAATACTTTCTTGTAGAACATAGAAAAATAGGTTTTCAATATCATACAGAGTTTTAAAATAATGCTTTATTTTTTTGCAGGAAGTAGAGGAAAATTTTATGAACCAGAGAAGAAAACCGAGATTAAATTAAACCTTCCAGAAGATACAAGAATATCAAAACTTCTAAGAAGACTTAATATAGAAACTGATCAAGACAACTCATTGGCCATATCCAAAAAACTTCTGGAAGTTCTTTTAATACCTGACAATGCACACTATGTCCGCAAAGCTTTCCACATACTTGGGGAATCTATGTATGAAATTCTACATGTGTCCCCTGGTCCTATGGCAAAGAGAGAAGCTGCAAGGGCTTTGGGACGCATGGGTTACATAATGGGTCAAGAAAATGACTTTGAAAGATATCAGCATTGGTTATTTAATAAAATGACAAATAATTTTGAAGAGATGCAAATACTACTTATGAAAAGTCTTAAAGAAACCTTGGCTTTTGAAGAGAAGAAACCTGTTTTACAAAGCCACACAGAAAATCTTATCAATAACTTAGTTTTAGCTATTGAAACAACAGAGAATGCCGAAGTATTCAAAGCTATACTTGATGTATTGATCACAGTAGTTGAAATGTACCAAGCAGAATTTTATGATCAATTCAGAGATACTATAGACTTGCTGTTTGGATGGCATGTTGATCACACACAACCACTTTGCAACATAGAATTTATATCAAAGTGTCTACAGAGGATATCACATCATTTTAAATATTATTCCGAATTTTCAATACAGTTAATAGAAAATTTTCTTGAAGATATTAGCAATTATTCGACACAAATAAAGGAAGCTGGAGATACGAACAGCCTCGACCATGTCACAGTTTTAATTTTGGCAATGAACACTGTGTTAAAATGTTTGGGAACGTCATTTCATCCCATTAATAACAAGACTGTTACTTTAGAGTTTATTAATTCATCACTTACTAGAATAATCAAAACAGTTAGTGACACATTAGAAAATTATGTACCAGAGAATTTAACCATCGCTGGTAATAACTGCATTGGTTTGTTGCTTGGCTATCTCGACAATAAATCTCAATTTCTTTGTAGTCAGATTTATGCACTAATTGATCTGGAAATATCTATGTTGTCAGACTTATCAGACGCAACTGTTATATCACTGTTAGTTTTAATATCTAAAGTGGTTAAGGAACTATCAGCAAATTTGCCCGTAGAAATTATAGATAAGTTGATAGGACCAAATTCAGAAATTGTTAAACTGCGATACTCTCCTTTTAGAAACATTCAAGAAGCCGTTATCTGCGTATACCAAGCTTTACTGAATCTTAAAAACGTCTCTCTATTACAAGAAGCTTACAGATATGTACTGGGCGATTTAGAAAAAGCATATTCCCAGATAGTACCCAGTATTCAACCTTTCACAACAAATAACCCATTTATAAACTACAGTGAACCCCGCAACCCAGAAGAGACAACTTTATTTCTACTTAGATGTGTTTCGCAGTTGGCCAATGCCAGTTCAATTATTGTTATGTGGGCACTTAAACCAAGTATCTTAGAGCTTGTTGGAGTTTCCATGATTCCTCACGACGCGTGTCTTTATAAAAAAGCACCTTCGCTGCAATACTGTATGCTGTATCTACTGTTTTCTCACTGTAAATGTTACAATCACTTTATCTCCAATAGTACTCTTGTCAACAAAACGCAAGAGGTTACCAATATTATGAATAGGTAAGTTAAATTATGGTATTTCTTGTAATACAGGGTAAGAAGTTCAAGAAATGAACGTACAGTGGATTAATCTTCAAACGCAACAAATGTTGTCTCTATAACTTTAAAATAAAAACTGAGAGTTTTCTATTCGCCATATCTTTTGAACAATAAGTTCGATATGTCTCATATGTTGGCCAAACGTTTAATTTATTCAAACTAGAAAAAAGTCAGGTCTGGTTTTAAACAATTAGTTTTGTTCATACAAAAAATTTCAACCTTTGTACGGTTTTTGAAAACTCGTAAGAGTTTTAAAATTAGAAAAATAGGCAATTAAAATGGCATATTTATTTTTTCCCACAAGATTACTTAATTTTTAATAAAAAAAAACAAGTTTGCCTATGAATTAAAAGTTTAACAAAACTATATAGTAGAAGGTAAGCCACTTAAGCTCACTTTGACCTGCACGACTCGAACCGTACGTGCATCCACTTTATGCATCTAATTATTTTATTATTTTTTAAGGGCTTATAATACATATCATTCGCTTAACCGGAATTGTTATTTATAATCAATAACCCGTCTACCCTAAGGTGTTGGGTGTAACCGGAATTGTTCTAAGCAAATTGCAATTATTTAGTAGGTTAGAGCAAAAAAATCGATTTTCAAATAATAATTTGCCTATATGCGAAAAAGTGGTCTATTCTTTGTTTCAAGTTAAGAAAATAACATTACGCTTATGGAGATCAGTGTTGCCAAAACTCTCAGACACTCTCTTTTGCACGGATGTCCAAGATATTCCCTTTGCTTAATTTTTGAATTTTCATTTTCAATTAACATTTAACTGTAAAGTCAGAATAACTACTAAATAAAAGCCTTATTATCATTATGTAGTCAGAGAACGACATAAAATAGCTGACATACGCACATCGTATTATTTTAAGTTGCAATTAGTAATTAGATATACGCATTCCAAGCGGTCAATATTTTCTACTATAATTAAAATAAGATAAAATAAAATTATCTTTTGTAAATACTATTTATCTAATTAAAATCATTTTCTCTACTTTTCATCTCTTGTTTCGAATGGGCACTTTTGGTCAATTACGTTAAAAAACATTAATTTAATTCATGTTTGTGGAAACAAAAATACAAATTATACAACCCTAAATTGTGCTTGTGTGTGTCGTGGCAACGCCGCGTTGCTATCGTCCATAAGAAATACATGGCCCTATCTCCGCAATGTTATTTTCTAAACGTGGAACGTAGTATAGTATTGAATTTTAACTTCTGTTAAAATCTTTGCGCAATCGTATGTTATTTAGTGGTGCCCCCACCCATATTTGTGAATAGACGCTTTCTCTTCTCGGTCGGTCATGAACGTGATTATGAATAAACCAGTTTGAGGTGGTCTAGCGTCAGTAGTGCACGAATTTTTATGCAAACTGTGTGAAATATAAATAATTTGCCTATATGCGAAAAAGTGGACTAGTATTGAATCTTAACTTGTGTTAAAATCTTTGCGCAATCGTATGTTATTTAGTGGTGCCCCCACCCACATTTGTGAATAGACGCTTTCTCTTCTCGGTCGGTCATGCGCGTGCTTATGAGTAAACCAGTTTGAGGTGGTCTAGCGTCAGTAGCGCACGAATTTTTATGCAAACTGTGTGAAATCCTTAAATTGCAACTTGTTTTGTGTCGTTTTTTGTGAATTAGTGGAAATTTAATAAACCAAAAAAACGTAATTTTAATGTGTAAATATGACAAACACTAGAAAAAAGACTGAATGTGTTATATTTGGTGCTCCATCACAATTAAAAGAATGCTTTTGGTTATTTGGAATACAATTTGGTTATTGTATTTTCCATTTGGGCTGGTCCACGTCGATAAACGACGGGTATGATGGTTGAACTTTGTGTTTACAATGGCCAAACTGTTTTCGGTTGCCAAAACTATTAAACGTTCGCCTTGGCTGTTTCTAATACCTAGCCCATAGTTTCCTACATTTTGGATGTTATCATTTCTTTTTTCTTGTTAAAATCGTCATGATTGTGAGTGGTTTTTAGATGAAATATTTCTCATTGTGTCTTCAATAACGGAATATACGTCTTCCACTTCATTGTCTTACGCGTCTGAGGTTGGCATATAGAGGGTATTTTTATAAATCTATCATTTATCTATTGGTAATCATACACGTATTGTGAAACTTGTTTAGTCACCATAATTGCAACAGCATTTCTTGCTGTGTTATTTGCTTCTGATATGTATACAACATGATCTGCCGTTCGGAAGTGTACTTGTCCTTTCCAATGGATCTCCGAAAGTCCGCATGTTTCTATCTTTCGAACTTCTACGACATAATTGAGCAGGACTTCGTGTTCACAATTTGTAACAGCATACCTAGTTTCTTACAAGAGTTTACTCTTGGTAGCGGTGGTCTGCTAAGTGGGTTTGTTCCATTAAACTCTTGTACGGCGCTTGTCATTTCGTTAACTAGGCTATCGCGCAACTCGTTGTCCTGCTGTGTATTATCTGGTTGAGTTTCTTGTTCTTGTATGAATCACCCGTTCGACTTCGCTTCTGATGGTATTGCGTCTAGTCTCTGGGATGAGATTATTTCTTATAATTACTCGGTATTGATCTGCTACTCGTTGTTCCGATACTTGCATTTCTGGGTACTCTCTGCAAAATTGGCAATACAGATTTTGTCGATAGTCGATCGTTTCTTGACCGAGGTCTGTCACCTTATAATAAAAGCACAAAATATTTTCTTTCATAGACACAGTCCATTTTATGCGCTGCCTCGGTCGTCCAGCTTGAGTGAGCGCTGGCTGACGTTCCAGCGTAGCACCTTCAGCGAGTGGAGCTTTTGTTGTTGTTTGTCTCGCTTGTGGTTGTTGGTCTTGTTGGGCTGTAGCTGATTGTATGACAGAGGCCCTCCTCCTCAACACCCTGCCACTGACGTCCCGCATGCTGTCACTTCCTGCGTCGGCTCCAGACGTGCCCTGGCGATCCCCAGGCAGCGACCCTAAACATAAATTATTATACTCCATTATCATGGTGTGCATTTTATACCTACTGCCAGGTGTCAGTTTTTGCTCCACGGCAGGTATCCCTGCTACCCTCTGGATATCTGCGCTACGAATACCTACGAATTAACCAAAGTTAACTGCCACATCGTACCTAACAGAACATTCCAAGAATAGAAAGGTGTTAGGCAGCAATTAAATTTAGAATCACAGTGGCGTATACTATTTTGTTAAAATTCATAAAATTTATGTAGGCGCGCGCGCAGAGAGGTTACTACCGTCTGGTTTTCCGATATAATTTTTATAGATTTATCCCTGCAGTTCCTCTATTAGTTCCTGCAGGCGTATTCCTGTAGCATAAATTTCTGCTCTTTGGTAATTTCTTGTATGAGCTTGTAAAAATAATGTTACAATCATTAGGAAAATCCTAGAAAGGGTAACTGGTAATATAGACCCTATAAAAGCATACCCCAAAGAATCAACAGACCAAACTTAATATGTAAAAAAATAACCTTTAGCTACTTTTGTTGTAGTCTTATAACAAATGTTAATTAGAATTGGTACTGCTTTTTTAAATTAATAACCATTATATTTTTAGGTTTGCTCTAACGGAAGGTTTGAACATTAATGATGTACCAAACAAGTCACCAAATTCCGGAAACTTTGCAATCATACTGGATATAATATACAATGCTATTTCTGCAGAAACTTCTAATGACATATTGTTACTTCTTCTACAATGGCTAAATGATGTTCTCATTAATTCAGAGATATATTTGGAACATCTTTATGTCAATGAAAAGTTTTCCAAAATGGTGGATTCGCTAGTCAGATGCGGTTACTGTTTTAATGATAAAATAGTTCTTGCTGTTTATGCTAACTTGGATAAATTACTGTCGAACAAACAGTTGTCGTGGTCATATAATTTTCTCTCAAACATAAGTGACTTGTGTAAACTACACATAAACTCAAACAAACCAGAAATTCGAAAATGTTACACTAAATTGTCTTCTAACATCCCGTGGGATATTGCGGTAGTTGAACTAAATAAGTTAAATTCTATTTATTCGATGAAACAGAAAAGCACATATCTCAAGGAGTATAATAACTACATGGTATATCTAGCACAACATCTACACCTTAACGGTAGCGTAGATGGAGAACTATATCCGTTACATTTTAAAACATTAATGAAGTATTTATTAAATAGCGACAAACTTCCTTCGAATTGGATGAATGAAATCTTTACTAGCTGTTGGGCAATTGAATCCGATTCTCAGATGAACATGGAATTGTTTTTTGAACTCGTTGTAAATAATCGCCAAATTTTGAATAATTGGCTAACACTGGAAGCTGCTGAGTTTTGTGTGAATTATAAATTAAGAACTCCGTTGGGAAAACCGAATGAAACTTTTACGAAGATCGAAAGTTCTTTAAACAATTTAGGAAACGAACTCATAACTTTAAAAAAGACAACTGAAAAGTAAGTATATTATTTTTTTATATATTTTAAACTTCTTCACTATGAGTCTTTGACGATATACACTCGCGATTATAAAATCCAGGTCACCTTGAAAATCACCGATATTTCATGTTTAACAGGCTTTATCGTAAATAATAATAATACAAATACAAACTAATGCATGTTTAGCTTAGAGGTTTCCTTTGTAACAAAGAATTCCAATAGTGCCGATTTCGCGGAAAAGTGCACACTTTCCAAAAAGAACGGCACTTGTAACTGCCGCTTGTTTTAAATGTCTCATTTATTCTTCGATTTTCTGTTCAAACACAACGAACAAACGCTTATTATTGCCACCACTAGTGTTTATTGGTGCCATTATTAGTGTTTATTATTGTATATTTTTTGATAAAAATGCCTTTGACTGTTGTTGAAACGGCACAAATTGTTGCGCTTGTGGAAGACGGTCACACTCAACGGCAAGTCGCAAGAACTGTTGACGTAAGCCTTTCTATGGTTCAACGAGTGCTTTAACGCTTTCAGGATACGGGTTTGCTAAACCAGACGACCTCGCTCTGGACGTTCTTCTGGACTATCTTCTTGAGTAATGACTACAGGACCACCACTTCGCCGGGCGCATCGAGTTGCACGACTAGATTTTGCTCGACAGTACGCGCATTGGAGAATTATTGATTAGAGCAAATTATTATTCTCACATGAATCCCGTTTCTGCCTAAATGGATCCGATGGACGTGTAACAGTTTGAAGGAGAACTAGTGAACGATTTTCACAAGCTTGCATTGCTCCAAGAATGCCATTTGGTGGAGGCTCAGTCATGGCTTGGGGAGGTGTATCTTCCGACTTCCGCACAGAATTACTCTTCATCGAAAGTAGGTTCTTAACTGCACGAAAGTATATTACGGAGATTATGGAAGAACGTGTTATGCCCACCATGGCAGGGCTTGGAGAAGACGCCGTTTTTTTGCCGGACAACGCACGACCGCACGTTGGCGGGATCAGTATGCAAAACTTGGACGAGGTTGAAATTACGAGGTTACTCTGGCCAGCTAGGTCTCCGGACCTGTATCCCATCGTACATCTCAGGGACGATTTGAAAAAACGTATTCAAACCCATTCACCTCCTAACAAAGCACAGGAGCTTAAGGATCTGTTAGTAAGAGAGTGGAATAACATACCACAAGATCCGGAGAAAAATTGATATTACGCCCTGTCATCTGCAAGAGGTTATTAGAGCAAGGGAAGGCAATATTAGTCTTCGAAATTTCACTGATGTTTTACCACGTTCTCTATTTTCCTTTTTTTTTTTTCATATGTCTGTTTTAACAACAATTTGGTTTGTTTTCTACTTTTTCAATAAAAACAAAAAACCTTTTTTTTTCCTTAAAAGCCAAACTTTGATGACAAATAATAAATACATTAGCCTAAAAAAGGATATTATTTCACCAGACGCAAAAATATTGAAGAAACTTCAAATTTTCAAGGTGACCCGGATTTTATGAACATTTTTCCTGATGTCGCCTTTGTAGAGGTTTACCCATTCAGATGTGCATTTGTTCTTCCTTAGAGAGGGGGTTTATGCGAATTTCTGGTTCTCCTAGTATAATCGGTGTTGTGTAATCTACTGCGCAACTTGCTTTACGCTGAAGATTTTTTATCTGTTTTAGTCCATTTAACAATACTAAATGAATAGCGAGGAACATGCGTAGGTGTTAAGTGCCTTAAACAAATTTTTACTGTTAAGATGTGAACAAAATAACTGTTTGACATTTCGTATGAACTCCGAAGTTACCTCGGTTTTCATTTGCTTGTGGTCAATTTTCCGTGTTTGCTTTGTTTCGAGATGTTTATACATATCATTTTCATCCAAGGCCTTGATATTTTGATCATTTTGCATATCGAATCCTCCGTACTGAACCTGTCTTCTGACTAAATTTAAAATACGGCTTTTATCTAGTCCGAAGTACATACATATTAATATTATTCTAGAAGGTTCATAGGGAGTACTACTGTAGTGTTGACAATTGTGCGTCGTATCTTCTATATATCCAGCATTGATATTATCGTTTATGGACATAGTCGATTTCGTGCTCTGCCTTGGTCGTCTCGCTTGAGTGAGCGCCAACTGATGTTCCAACGCAGCACGTTCAGCGAGTGGAACTCTTGTTGTGGCTTGTTTGTGGTTATTGTTGTTGAGCTGCAGCTGATTGTATGACAGGGGTCCTCCTTCTCAACACCCTGCCACCGACGACATGCATAGTGCCATGTCCAGCGCAGACTCCAAACGTGCCCTGGCGATCCCCAGGCAGCGACCCTAAACATAAATTATCATTCACACCATTTTCATGGGTGTGCATTTTATACCTACTGCCAGGTGTCTTATACCAGGTATTTTATACTACTTCAGGTATCCCCGCTACCCTTTGAGATCGGTGTTACGAATAGAACTGACAAAACTCCCACAGGTTGTACTTATTATTATTGTACAGTGGTGGCCGTAGCTCAGCGGCTAAGATACTGGCATTCTAACTCCCGAATTCGATCCTCTACACCAATGGCATTTTCATTTCAAGAAATTATACGAACCGACACCCTTCTCGAAGGGCACGCAAATCCGCTGGTGTCGGTTACGTAAGTGCTCGTTAAGTCATGTTAGGTGCGCTTATGCCACTGAAAACACCAGACCTTAGCTAGAAAGTCACACGGACTTTGTTTTTTTTTTATTGTACTGAAATTGTTTTTCATATTTTTGTTCATCCACTCAGATCTGTTATTCATCCACTTTTTTTATATATTTTTTTATTTTGATTTTTGTGAAATCTTAGAGTGTCTCATCAGTTGTAAAACAAAAGACCTTTCAGGTGGATAGCTGATCACATAGGTTGATGCGCCTTAAATCTAAATAAAAAAAAGAATAAAAAAGTTCTTGAAACTGTCAGTATAACAGCGAGTAAGTTATTTAGTTTATATTGTGATTAACAAGTGAACAAATAAAATACTGAAACTTTTTAGATGTCAATCAGTGTGAGTCAGAGCCATATTCGATTTGGCCATTAGTTAGATCTATATTGTAGTTTCTCAAAGGGCCCTTTTCACACTGTATGATAATGAATGTACTCATTGTGTATGAAGGCACATCCCACTTCTTTTTCTGATGTGAAGGCATCAGTATAATCATCATCATCACCCAGCCCTTTGCGTCCACTGCTGGACATAGGCCTTCCTCATTTTTGTCGCTTGTGCTCTGTCTTTAGCACTTTTCATCCTATTTCTTGACATGTTCTTGAGATCGTCAGTCCATCGTGTAGGGGGTCTTCCTCTACTTCTTTTGTCTAATCTCGGCCTCCACTCAAGCAATCTCTACGTCCACCTTTCATCAGTGATTCGGGCGACGTGTCCGGCCCAGTTCCATTTTAGTGTGGCAATTCGGGAAATTACATCGGTAACCCTGTTCTTCGTCTTAAGTCTTCATTTCTAACTCGGTCACGAAGCGATATACTCAGCATTAATCTTTCCATTTTCCTCTGAGCTATTTGCAGCGTTTTAGAACTTGTAGCTGTCAATGTCAAAGTTTCGGCACCATAAGTCATCACAGGCAGCACACATTGGTCAAATGTTTACGTTTTAAAGAAATTGGTATATCGCCTTTAAAGATGTCTCTGAGTTTTCCATAGGATGCCCATGCTAGCTTTATTCTTCTTCGTAGTTTGCATGTTTGGTTGTCTCTTGTGATCTTTATTTCGTGTCCAAGATATATGAATTTTTCCACCAGCTCTACTTCGTTATCTCCAATATTGATATTTCCGTTAGGTACTAGGTTTGTCATGAATTTTGTTTTGGAGATGTTTATTTTAAGACCCACACTGGCACACACTAACTGAAGTTTATGTAGCATTGTACATATCAGTATAAACATGTTGGTAATTTTGGTAGATACTTATCAATCTTACTGTAAAATGTTTTAACCATAGAGGAAGCACTAAGTTGATTACTAGTCTTTGTTAAACTCATGTCTAGGAAGGGTTTTCTGACCATCCAAGGGAGAGTGGCTAAGAGATTGGTTTGGTATATTTTAAGGAAGAGAATATTATTACTGGTCATATATCTATGAAGTCTTTCATAGACAGTGGGCTTAGATCTTTTCTTTTGAAGATATGTTGTGTGGAAAAGAGAGCAAAGACATTGTTTCTGACGGGATTTTCACTATTTGCTGAAACGTTTGCAACATATGCTATGATAATATATTATCTTTATAATTCCAGAGGCATTTATTCTACTAAACATAGTAAGCTATCTGTGAGTGTGGTATAAAAAGCTCCTCAGGCTATTCTTACAACAGCATTTTGGATTGTTTCAACTTTTTTAAAAGTGATAGACTGCTAGACCCATATACTATTGGGCAGTAATCGACTTTAGATCTAATGATGTTTTTATATACTGTCAATAGATAATATCTTGATCTTCTTCTGTTCAATCAGGGGCGGCTCGTGGCCTAAAAAAGTGGTGAAGATAAGGAAAGCTTGCCGGAGTCAAAAGGAGTTTTGGTACCTACGTCGCACCCAAATCTCATTAAAAATTCGGTAAAAAAATGTGAGTTATATAAAAACTGAACTAATAAATGCTATACTATACAATATACTATATAAAAAATGTCTATATAATAGACTTAATTTAAAAATATTGTCGCTGCTAATACTAAATAGGTACACATGCAACTAGTGGCCAGTGGCTGAAGACGGATAATAGATTTTTTAACGGAACTGCACTAGCTATTTTTCTTAACTATCACTAGCGACAGGCTGACGTCACGTTGTCATGGCAACCATGAACGCTTATGCAGATGGATTTCGCATTTCAAAAATGATATTCACCTATTCCTGAATCTGAATCATACACAGCAAGTGACACAGGTCAGGACTTGGCCGTCAAGTATCTACCGCACCGCTAATAAAACTTTATAGATAAATTAAATTTAGATAATATAAAGATAAAAGAGAATAAATAATTGATTTGAGAATTTAGATATAATAATGTTGCTTTTATTTTTTATTTATTTGTCTCAATTATAATTATATATTTTTTTGGTGAACCTCACCTTCACCTACTTCACCTGGCCGGCCGCCGCTGGCTACAATCCGTTATAAGCCTTGGCCTGCTTAGCAATGTTCTTTCACTTTGCCCTGTTACTGCTACTGCTACTTTCCTTCACCACTGCCTGATGTTCATGGTTTTAAGATCCCTCTCTACGTCGTCTATCCATTTTTTACGGGGTCTTTCTCTTGTTTTGTTTCCTTGATGCTTCCATCTCTGGACTACTTTTACAGCTCGATTATCTGGCATTCTTTCTTGGTAACCAAGACAGTTTAGTCTTTGTGACTTTACAAATCTAACCATATCTGCGCTCTGCAATAGTTCATCCAGCTCTTGGTTCATTTTAATTCTCCACGAACCATCGCTGCATTGGGTTGGTCTAAATATCTTCCTTAGTATTTTGCGCTCAAATATTCTCGGTTGATTTACAATCAGTGGTTGAGAGGGTCCACGTTTCACATCCATATGTGACCACTGGTCTAATTACTGTTTTGTTGATTGTAAGCTTAGACTCACGATTCAGTAACTTACTTTTCATTAAGTAAGTCTTTGTATGCATAAAAGCACTTATTACCGCTAAGATTCGGAGACAAACCACCTAGGAACTCCTTTTACACTAAAAGAACTCCACGACGGTCTGAACAGGTTAAAAAACAGGAAAGCTGCAGGTGTTAATCATATATGCAGTGAACAAAAAAGCATTTAGGCCAAGGAGCAAAAAACTGGATCTTGCAATTTTATAACACGTGCTGTAAAACCTGCAAAATTCCAAAATCATGGAGGAAATCTAAAGTAATAGTCTTGTTAAAACCAGGAAAGGATCCAGAAGACCCCAGTAGCTACAGGCCTATTTCGCTATTGTGTCACTTTTTTAAACTATACGAGAGACTCATACTCGCCAGAATAGAAAAAAATGTCGACAAGCACCTCATCCCACAACAAGGAGGATTCAGACCTGGCAAATCTTGCACCGGTCAAGTCCTCGCATTAACAGAACACATTGAAGAGGGCTTTGAAGAAAAACTTATAACAGGGGCTGCTTTTGTAGATATGACAGCAGCCTATGACACAGTAAGGCACAAAACATTGCTCCGCAAATTGTATGACACTCTCAATGACCACCATCTGGGAAAGGTCGTATATTCTTTACTGCAATAGACGTTTTTTCGTTATGCTGGAGGGTAAAGTAAGTAGGTGGAGAGTTCAAAAGAACGGCCTCCCACAGGGAAGTGTTTTAGCACCAATGCTCTTCAATATATACACAAACGACCAAGCACTTCCTCTATGCTGACGATCTTGCAATATGTGCTCAAGGAAGTAGTTTTGAAGAAGTGGAGGAGAAACTCGAAACTGCCTTAAAAACAATGACAGCGTACTACCTGCAGAATTCTCTAAGACCCAATCCCTCTAAAACCCAAGTCTGCGCTTTCCACCTTCGCACAAAGGAAGCCAAGCGAAAACTCCAAATTGTGTGGAATGGTAATGCATTAGAACACACAAACCAACCTATATATCTTGGAGTAACTCTGGACCGGTCCCTCACCTACAGACAACATTGCATAAAAACAAGAGGGAAAGTAACAACTAGGAACAGCATACTCAGAAAGTTAACGGGAAGTAAATGGGGCGCACGTACTGGCGTTTTAAGAACAACGGCACAGGCACTGTCTTTCTCAACTGCTGAATACGCGTGCCCCGTTTGGAGCAGATCTGCCCACATCAAACAAGTTGATACTGCGCTAAATGAGACGTGCAGGATAGTAACGGGGTGCATGAAACCAACGCCACTTTCAAATCTATATAGAGCAGCGGGTTTTGCAGTACCCTCAACACGCAGAGGCGCTGCAGAACACATAGAGAAAATTAAACAGATCGCGGACGATCGGCCCTATACAAAGCTCGAACACCACGAAAGCGACAAAAATCTACGAAAAGCTTCCTTGGAACAGTGCAGGATGAACCGCCTGAGTATTTTTCACTTCCCCAGGTTCAATGGACCGGCCAGACCCTAGACTTTAAAACGTGGAAAACCTTGAATAGGATAAGAACGGGGGTTGCTACAGTAAAATCAAACATGGCAAAATGGGGAAAAATAGACCAAGATGATGTGAACTGTGACTGTGGAGAAACACAGAATATGGAACATCTTCTTACATGCAGAAACTGTCCTCATCGATGTACACTTCAAGATTTGTGGCTCGCCAACAAAGATGGAACCGACGTAGCCCGATACTGGGCCGAAATTTTATTTCTTGACTGATGTTGTCATTTATTATTGAGCCTAGGTAGGGAAAAGTGGAGGCATATTTGTAGGTATGGTTGTCTACCTTCAGATTCTCATGTTGATTCGATTTTGTGCACTCCATATATTTTGTTTTACTTTTATGTATATATAGACCAGTTTATATCCAGTTTTGTAACAACAGCTTCTAAAGTTAGATTAAAAAGTGTTGTTGATAAGGCATCACCTTGTCTAGCTCCATTTTCAATATCACAGTCCTGCGTCATATCTCCATCTATTCTCGCTATAGCTTTGGAACCCTCCAGAGTCATTCGTATAAGTTATTCGTTATCCCTAACATAGATAGTTGCTTTAACATCTTTTGTCGATCTACTCCATCAAACGCCTGTTTGAAATCGATATACAATAGGTATGTTATATTCAACACATTTTTGATGTATACTTCTTAACATATGTATTTGGTCTATAGTTGACCTCTTTGGTCTGAAGCCACATTGGTATTCACCAATCATCTCCTCCGAAAACGACGACATTTAAAACTGTTATATCCCTATAATTTTTGCAGAGTCGTTTGTCTCCCACTTTGTACATAGGAAGTATGATTTCTACTTTCCAATCTTCTGAGATGACTTCTAGTGTCCATATGCGGTCGATTAGTTTATGGATACGTAACAGTGATTAGTCTTCCTTTCTCTTTTCGTAACAGTGATATTCTTTGGTTTATCTTCGATATAACCAATAAATGGTCCGAATTGCAATTTGTGTCTCTATAAGTTCTAACATCCGTTACGGAGGTTTTCCACCGCTTAGATATTAATATATGATCAATTAGATTAAATTTATTAGTACCAGGTATCATCAGGTTCCGTTATGAATATTTTTATGAGGGAAACACGTATTAACAACTTTTACAGGATATCTTGATCACATCCCTAATTTTTAGCAGATAGGACTTTTCAATTTCAAAATTCGATGTTTGTCAAATTAATTTCAAGGAATTTGATACATTCAACAGGCTTATGAAGTACAAAACTGGATTTTGTGAATCTACTGACAAGTAGAGTTAGTTTAGTTGTAAATGAACGTAGAATAAAAATTGTCGATTTGTTTATTTAAATTGTTTATATCGTTTCATTTAATTTTTCAGATTACCAGAGTCTACAGTTCGTAGTGACGGAAACAGAGTTAGAATGCTATTAAGATTCGTAGAAAATTTAGAAAAGGCCATTTACAATGCTTCAGAGGGTTGCGCAATATCCATGCCGCCTGCGTCCAAAGTTGTTCGATCTTTTTTTATCGCTAATACAAATACCTGCCATGAATGGTTCTGTAGAATTCGTATAGTATTGATGCACGTGGCATTGCATTGCGGTGAAATCAATATCGCCCTTAGAAACGGACTTTGTTTTCTAAAAGAATGCGTGAATCTAGGCAGAGTGAGCACTATTGAATTTGAAAGAGTAGCAATGATAGTAACACTAACGATGCTGCATCTTAAAGAACCCGAAGCTCTTTATGGGCTGTACTCTTGGTGTAAAACCGTCGTGGGGAAACGTTATCCTTGGATGAAATGTGCTTCTGAACAGTGTTCTAAGAAGTACGAAATGGCCGTGGAAGGTTATAAAAGAATTCTTCAAGAAGAAAATAATCCAGATGAATCAGACGATGGTAACAAATTAGATAGTGATATACACAATTTTATTCTAGACCAGATTATTGTTTGTTACAAAGAAATGAGCAACTGGATCGATTTGTTTCAATGGCACACTGCTCAGGATAATGTTGAAAATGGAAGAAAATATTGGTTTAATGTGACCGATTGGGAAACTAATAAAATACTGTTCGACATGGAATCTCAAAATTTAGCGTTTGAGGAATTAGGAACGTGGAGTTTTAAAAGTAAAGACACCTGGAGCATATATGAAAATGTATGCACTACAGAAAGTAACTTATACAACGTTGCAGTAAAATTAGCCCTCAGAAAGGATCAAAATTATATTCCAGAAATAGATTCAATTATGTCCAATATCCAGAACAATATCGAAGATCATCTACATTTGGCTCCTTCGGAGTTTCTGCAAAATTTTTCTTTATTACATTATGTAGGCAACGGCTTGAAGCATATTGCTCAAGGCAATTTAGCACACACAGTCTTTTTAGTGTCAGAATCTTTTGAAAATGAAATTCACAAAATTGATTCCAGTGTACTGAGGAAAATTCTCTGGTGGTCAGAATATTTTGGAAGGGTCCAAAATCAAGGCTTCAATGTATTTTGTAGTAACCTACGACTGGATATTATAAAGAGGTCCAGGAAAGAGAAAAATTTCCAAATGGCTATAAAGCAGATCCATAAATTTTTCAACGACAAAGATCTAGTAATGGCAGGGGAGTTAAACATTGTAGATATTACGAATACATTTATGCATAAAATTCAAGATATAAATGTTTGGACTGTAGATGTAGCTAGAGCTGTTTTTGAAGTTATTAAACTGTCTTATTCCTACGAGCAGAACCATCAGCAGACCTTCAACCTATGTGCAGCAGCATCTACAGCTATATCGAAATATGCAGAGTTATTCGGAATCAACGAACTAAGAAAAATCAGTAGTAAAATCTTGCTCAAATTATCAAGTTGGTTGCAAACTAATGAAGGCGTTTCTCTCACCGAAATGAACAGTCCTCTAGGAAAACTTGTCCTGGTGTTACCTGAAATCGGAATGGTGGAATCTCATAGCACCAACATAATTCCACTAAACGAAATTGCCATTGGCAAACTTCTTCAATTCAGCGTTCATCACTACGGAAGTCTTGCCAAAAGCTGGAATGCTTTTGGCACCTGGTGTTACCGCTGGGGTAAAAAAATAGTCGATCACAGTTCAGATATTAAAAATAATTTGAGCGAAGAGCACTGTTTGGAAATTAAAAAGTTACTACCACCAGATACACCAGAAGAGGACCTGAACAAAATATTTATAATATTGTCACAAACAAGGAACATCATAGACGAGGAAGATATCGATTCTAACGAAATCAAAACTTCAGCGATGATTCAGTCGCAATTGCAGTGTGTCGGAATTTTGGAGGATGCCGTTGAGAACCAGCTCCAAAGTTTGATACAAATTTGGAAGAGTACCCAAAAAAGAATCTATCATTATTATGCTCTTAGTGCAGAAGCTTACTTCAAATACTTGCAGCTAGTTCTACAATCAGAAAATGTTACAAAGAATACGGAGTGTAACACGATAACAGTTACATTAAGACTCTTGCGACTGATTGTCAAATATGCTTTGGAGTTACAAAATATTCTTGAAGAAGGTTTACAGACGACACCAACTCATCCATGGAAAGTTATTATTCCCCAACTATTTTCAAGACTCAACCATCCAGAGAGTTACGTTAGACTTAGAGTATCGGATCTGTTGTGCAGAGTTGCTGAAGATGCTCCTCATCTGATTACTTTCCCTGCCGTTGTCGGTGCCTTAGAAGGGGGATTGAAGTTTGATTTTTCGGAAATAACTTTACCAAAAGACTGTTTATCGCAGAATAACGACTCTGAAGACGAAAACGAACTCAACGAGGAAGATGACAACTATGACAGCGATGATAATGAAGAACCGATTAGTAACAACAATAGTTTACAAATCTGTTTTAAAACAATGGTGGATACTTTAAGTAAACAAGATCCAGAAACTATTGCACAGGTAAGTTTTTAATCAGTCTATATTCTTTCTCTAAGTAGGTAGAAGTTATTATTTTTTAAAAGAATTTTATATTGCTATATACGAAGTATTCTTCGTCATCCAGCTCGTGGTATCCTTCAGAATAATCCTTATTTGACACGCTTTCACGCTTATCAGTGCTTTCAAATATCTAAAACAATACTGAACTCGTTTTTGTTAATGTCATTCACTGCCGCTATTGTCACATTCGTTTGAATCGTGTTAACATTAGTCTAGGGCAGTGGTTCTCAACCGGTGTTCTGCGGAACACTAGTGTTCCGCGAATTCCTTCCAAGTGTTCCGCGAAAGACTCGCAATCCTACATACCATTTTGCTAAATTACTCTTTTCAAATAAATATTTTCAAATTTTAAAATAGCCACTTACGTACATTTTAATTTAATAAAATTCTGCAGCGTAAATGTTCATTTGCCCAACGTGACAACACCGCGTCGGCACAGTGCACACGTTGGATTTTATAAGCGCTGAGCGCTGAGCTCCGCAGTGGCCACAGCCAATCTGAGTCACCCACGCCACAGTCTACAACTGAATGTTGAATTTGTTACATTGCACAAACATAATACGTGAAAATCGCTGTGTCAGTTTTTTTATGATAACGTTTACGAACGGTTTATCTATCAAAGTTAAGTAATTGCATATTTTATACAAAATGTGAAGCATTCATCCGTATTATTTTGTTTAGAGACGAATAAATTAAAATGGATAAGTTCCTCAAACTTAAAAGAAAAACTACTGTGGAACAACTCATAATTAATGATGATGAAGCGAGCACCAGCGGAGATACTGGAACTTTACGAAGTGGGGTCGATGACAAATCAAAGCACAGCAAAAAAATGTTGAACCGGCAATATTTGGATGAATATTTGGATTATGGCTTCATTTGGACTGGGGAAGAAGACTGTTCAATTCCCAAGTGTATTGTTTGTGGGCAGACACTCGCTAATTTTACTACCAAACACGCTAGTGTAGCTTCAAAAAATAAAGATTATTTCAAGCGACTTTTGGAGACACAAGCTAAACAAGCGAAACAATTTGAAAGGTCGCTAACAATTTCCGACAAAGCACAAATAGCTTCATATAAGGTCGCCGAATTAATTGCTTTGAAACAGAAACCACACACTGTTGCAGAATCTCTTTTATTACCAGCATGTTGTGAGATGGTCAAAATTATGTTTGGCAACGATGCACAAAACGAAATACAGAAAATTCCTATGTCGGATGATACAATAAGAAGGAGGATTGTTGATTTATCTGCAGATATTGAGGAAAAAGTTACAAATAAACTTTACAAAAAAAAACTTCGCATTGCAGGTGGACGAATCCACTGATATTAGTGGCAAAGCTCATTTATTAGGATTTGTTCGATTTGTTGACGAAGGTGAAATAGTCAATCAGTTTTTATGCTGCAGAGAACTTACAGCATGTACAACAGGTCAGGATGTATTGGATTCCATAACGTCATATTTAGAGAAAAAAATATATCATGGGACTTTTGCGTAGGAATTTGTACGGATGGTGCCCCTTCCATGGTAGGCTCCATAAAAGGTTTTTGTACCCTTGCAAAAAAGCGAAATGAAAATATCATATCTACGCACTGTTTCTTGCATAGAGAATCTCTAATTTCAAAAACGCTACCAGCTACTTTGAAATCTGTATTAGACCAAGTGGTTAATGTCGTGAATTACATCAAATCAAGACCACTAAAAAACCCGTCTTTTTAAACAACTCTGAATCTTAATGGAATCAAAGTATGAATGTTTGTTGCTGCACACCGAAGTTAGATGGTTGTCAAGGGGCAAAGTATTATGTCGAATTTATGAACTTAGAACGGAGCTGTTAACTTTTTTCCAAGAAGAAGGTAATGACACATTTACCACATATTTTGAAAATGATGCATGGTGCACTAAAGTGGTATAATTGGCCGATATTTTTAATTATTTAAATGGCGTTAACTCAAGTATGCAAGGCAAAAATGAAAATATTTTAACATCCACGGACAAGCTGTCAGCTTTCCAGAAAAAATTGTCATTTTGGAAGAAGCGCATTTTAGAGACAAATAAAATGGATATGTTTCCACTGCTTCAGAATGAAGGTGATGAAGATAAAGAACAAGAAATCACGCATATAGTTACAGAACACTTATCACTATTAGAGGAGACAATTGCCAGGTATTTTCCATCTCTGAACGTAGAAAAATATGACTGGATAAGAAGTCCTTTTAGCCAATTTAGTAATACAGCCAATTTCCAGTTTTCTCTGAACCAATAAGAAGAATTTATTTCGTTGTCATCTGATCGTACTCTGAAAATTAAGTTTTCAGAAGTGAATGTTCAGGAATTTTGGATCTTGGTCCAAGAGGAATATCAACTTCTTGCCAAAAAAGCGATTAGTATTTTAATACAGTTTTCAACGTCCTATTTATGTGAATTTGGGTTCTCATCTTAACAAACATTAAAAATAAGAAACGGGAAAGGCTGCTAAACTTAGAACAAGAAATGAGAGTAGCTCTTTCCCACATCAGGCCTGATATTGAGCAAATTTGCAAACGACACCAGGCACAAGTGTCTCACTAATTTGAAGTATTTACTCATATGATGTATTTTGAGAATTGCGCTTTTGTTAATTTTAAAAATGTTTTTTGTTTTCATATTTTAAGTAAAATTTTACAAATTTGAGTACGTATAATAAAGTTTATTACAGAATTTATGTGCTAATCCTAATTTGTTTATCAGTATATGCATGTTATTGCTTTGGTGTTCCGCAATTTTTTTCGATAATTAAAAGTGTTCCGTCGCCACAAAAAGGTTGAGAACCACTAATCTAGGGCGATGGGTCTACCCAAGTTTTTTTATATATTTTTGGTTGCCGATTATGAATTTTGTAGGGTGGATTTCGATCCTAGTGCTCAAAAAAATTGTTATAAACAATTTAATTTTTTATAAAGTTCTACCTCGTAAACGAAAAGAGCTAGAAAAATTTTTTTAATCAAATTTGTTCCTTGAAAAACAATCAAAGAAACTGGAGTTTACTAAACTTTAATCCAATAATTAGAACTCAATATATTGTAAAATTAGGGCTAAGAATTCGTGCTTGTATTTCTTGACTAACGGTATTGCTGTAATTTATTATTGAGACTAGATAGGGAAAAGTGGAAGCATATTCGTATGTTGTCTACCTTCAAATTCTGTCAATTCCACCTTGTACACTGCATATATTTTGTTTTCCTCTCATTTAAATTTAGACCAAATGCAGCGGCTTCTCTAGTTCATAGTTCATATCTCTAGTTTTTTGATAATAGCTTCCAAATAGCTTAATGAAATAGCTTAACAAGTGTTGTTGATAAGGCTTCACCTTGCCTTGTTAGGCTCTTTATAGCATTCTTTATAGCTCAGTTTAAGGTGAACAGGTTATCGACCTATTGCACCCGAGTCAAGTGTCAGCGCTGCTGGCTATAGGTTCTGGACCAGCCCCGGTTTTATTCCGGTTATAGTGGCTAGATATTTCCTCCATGCCAATGGTGTTATCTTGTGTGTTAGGTTAGGGTTATACCGCCCATGTTCGGTCAGAGGTTGAGGAGTAGGAATAAGAGTTTATGGCAGTAGGAGTGCTCTCCATGCAGTCACCTTTTACGACAAGCAGGAGAAACTGTGCGGATATTCTTCTTTGTTGGCCCGTAATCCACACGGGGGGACAAATTAATATACTCAATAGTATTTAAGGAGACAGTCTCATGCGATTAAAAAAAAAAGACACATTTTAAAATTAAAGCAGAAAAAAAACTATAATATTTATTAACATAATTCCTTTTGGAGATGATTAAGTAAGTCTTGAAGTACAAAAAAAATTTTTAATAACGATTTTAACTTCATTGGTGTCCTGTAGATGGGGTGTAGTAAAAAGTGCGTTTTTGGTGGTAAGACACTTTGTGGGTCACCTGTAACAAATATTCAAAAAATTCAAAATGGGTTGTATTCGTGAGACTCAAAACTAGATGATAAACCTTTAAAATATGCAAATTGTATTATTTTGAAGAGTTTATACGAATTTTTTCAAAAAAAGTCGAAAAATCGCTATGTTTTTCGGTAGATTTACCCATATATAATAAAAGGGGGGGTGGTTTTTAAATATTTTAAAGGTTTATCATCTAGTATTTTGTATATATATTCGAAAAAAATTTGGCTTTTTAAAATCGGTTAAGAAGGTTCGAAGAAAAGTGTCTGACCAGTTTGAAAATGTTACTTTTGAGAAAAAAGCATTTAAAGTTTTTTTTACATAATTTTCGTGTATAAAAGGCTGATAACTTTATACTCACGTTTAATCGGCTACTCCTGGTGAATATTGAGGACCCTCTTCATCCAACAGTTGTTGTAAATGGCTTTGTAAAGCTGTAAATTTTCAATACAACGTCGCGATGTTTTATAATTAATTCATTTGTTTGACTGGAGTCTCAATTCACGCCGCGATTCTGCCAGTGTAAGTGTAAAAACGGAACACACCTAGATCGCATGTCACTGTCAGTTCAACGAAAACGTACTTATTTATAAATGTAGATATGAAAATATTTTATAACTAAAAAAATGGTTATGTTTTATTGCCAAAACGGCTTGAAAAAAAAGTTGATTTCTAAAATTAAAAATAAAAAGGAATTTTAAAAATAAAATAATTATATTACACTCTTTTTAATTTGAAATTATAAACAATATTTGGAATAATAAATGTATTTAAGTATAAATTTTATAACTCAAATAATACCTAATGAACACAAACAAAATTGATGTTAATAAAAACATTATTTATTATCTGCACAAAACCGGACTTTCAGGAAAAATCGGTAGACGGAGCAACACTGTCGGCGTGCCATATACGCTACTATAAACCGCTGAGGAGAAGTAATCCACTGGAACAAATAAATTGTTGTATTAGTTGTAAAACATCGCGACGTTGTAAAGAAATTTACACTGGTTAATTGCAACGCAGAGAATCTTAGTATTTGTAAAAAATCCTGTTTCGGATTTAAAATTCCAAATGTGTATAGTAATAGTAACTGCCAAACGTTATACAGATATACATACTATATAAAAATGAATCACTAATACATACCCAACGTATATACAACATATCTACAAAAGCAAGAACAGCTGGAGCATCGCGCTCGCCGCGCGGAGAGAAACCGGTTTTCATACGTGCGTAGATGACTTTAATAAAATACCTATAACTTATATTCTAGTGAAAATTTCTTTTTAAAATTTTAGCAGGGAGTTTTTGAATGTAAATGGAAGTGATTTATAAAAAAAATAAAATTGATTTTTTGAATGTTTCGCATGAGACTGTCCCCTTAATATAAAAAAAATATTGTAGGTATAGCACAATGTTGTTTATAAAGAAATTTTTGGCTCTGGAAAATTTATAAAATAATATGTATTGTCTTTAAACGATTTATAGCGTCTATCCTCTTACGTACTCCATAAAGACACTGCTTTGTTGTTCCTTTTCGTACAGGTATCATAATAATATCAATTAAAAAATGAATTTGCCAATTGAGGCACTTTTTTCTTTATTATTTTCGTTTGTTTTTTCAATAACTATACTTTCTTTGGTATTTTTTATCTTAATTATATGTTCACAGGTAGTTTATTGTTATTTATATTACTAACCTAACATGCTTGTTTACAAGCATGCACACGAAAAAATGTGAAGAAAAGGTATTTGTACATCCCAGAGGTACTTTTCAGTGCGTCATTAATTATGACGTCATAGAATGAATTAGGTAAGTCGAGAATTATTTCATATAATTATTGAAGAATCTGACAGATGCCAGGATCGTACTTAACCACAGGGGGTAATCCCGTATATTAATAAAAATAAAAAGTAAACAATATTGTTTATTCAATTTATAAATATGGAAAAATTTGAAATTGACGACAAAATGATTCATTTATTGAATTTTTGTATCTTCTTCTCAAGGGGCTGTCTGCGCGTCGAAAGTTGGCAATCATCACAGCGATTTTTAATTTTAAGACAGCGGCTCTAAATAAGTCGTTATTACATGAGTTACGTCTTCTTCCTATGGATCTTTTTCTTCTAATTTTTCCTTGCTTAATGACCTGGAGTGTTAGATATTTATCTCCTCTCATCACATGACCCATATATCCCACTTTTCTCCTCTTAATTTTTAGTACTTCTCTTTCCTTATGCATACGTCACATTACCTCAACGTTGGTTATTCCATCTACCCATGAGATCTCTAGTACTCTTCGGTACATCCACATCTCGAATGCTTTCAGTCTCCTCACCTGAATTTTCTTCTGTGTCCACGCTTCCATCCCGTATTGTAATACGGATGGCACGTAGCACCTCAGCAGTCGTATTTTTAACTTAAGGTTTAAGTTTCTACAGCAGAAGCCTTTGTATTCTTGTAAATGCGCTTCTGGCCTGTTTGATTCTGATTCGTATTTCTTGAGAGCTGTCATTAATAGTTGTATCTAGGAATTTGAATTCTCTTACTATTTCTATAGGCTGATTCTGTACATATATCTCACGAATGTCGTGAGTGGTCTTTGTTATTATCATATATTTCTTGCTCTGTTGAGTGATGGTCCATATTCTTCTTTGCTTACTGCGGTCACCTAATTAAGAAGTATCTGTAGGTCTTCATATGATTCGGCTAAAAGAACTGTATCATCAGCGTATCTCAGGTTATTTATGATCATGTCATTAATTCTAATGTCGTCAGCAATCGATTAACGTTTCGTTAATCCATTGCCTTACTTAATATGTCTTCCGAGTATACATATTAAATAATACTGGTGTATGTATACACCCTTGTCAAAGAACTCTTTGTACTTCTATTTCTTCTGATATTATATCTTCTATTCTCACTACTGCTTTTTGACCATAGTATAAGTAACACAAAAAATACTGTTTTCAAGAATTTATTAGGTAACTTATTAATTAATTACATAAATAAAATAAAATTCTATTTTGTAAGTTTGTACGTACAAAATTAGACTTTTAGCAGATAAAATTATAGAAAAATACTGCCAGTGGGGATGTTTCCATAAAGATATTTCCTTAGGACAACTCCATGGTCAAATATTTAATAAACAGTTAATTAGAGAGAAGCCAGTCAGATGTCAATATAAGAATTGGATGATAACTGGTTCCACTGAATATGATTATGGTTTTCTCGTTTTTTGCCGAAAAAAAAAACAAATGGTACTATTAAAATAGACCACTTGAAGCTAAAATAGTAATTGATATTTTGATACAGATGCCTGAACCATCAACAAATGAAATTTTTTCGATAAACATGACATATCATTAATGATATATCTGAAACAAAAAAAATGTAAAGGCAACAAGAACTGTAAAATGTCCATTAATGGAGAACGCTAATGAAGAGTAAGCCAATGAAGAAAAATGCATACGATTATAGATTTGACAAAATAATGAAATTTTATGTAAGAAATGGTATGACAATAGTGTTCTATGTTATCCAATTATGTTACCATTGAACCACTAGGCCAAGTAAATACAAAGGTCGCAATATGGTGAAAAACTATGTGTATTGAATGGTGTTTTGAAAAATACCATACAAATACCTAATGTTCCCATTACGCTGAAATAAACAGTAAATAAAACAATTTTATTTTTAGGGTAATTTTCAACTTACTTCACGAACAACAGACATTGGTAATAATGTTTGTCCAGCTTTCTTTTCCAATTGAAAATATTTAAGCAATTTTAATATTAGAATTTGTTTTTTTTTTCGTATATCTTGTCATCTTGTACAAATACAAATAAAACCACAATCACAATACTATGTAAAACAAAATACAAAATAAAATTATATAAAACAAATACCAAAGAATATAAATATATTATATAGCGTCTATATTCTTTGCAAATACTGACCTGAACGACAGCCGTCACTTGCTGTTGGAAAACTACGAAAGAATGGCCAGCATGGACGAATTTTTACGTCAACTGTCAGTAATAGGCGTATTTGATTGGCTACATAAAGCGCGCATCTAAATATCAACGAATCAAACGTAGGTTAGGAAAGAACCTCTTATATATGTAAGCTTATTCTAACGCTGCAATATAGTTCTGTTTAATTACCGAACTACCACTTTCTCCGTCACATCCAACTTAATGCATTAGAAAGAAATCGAAAAACTGTGACGCACTGAAAAGTACCTCTGGGATGTTCTATATCTGTTCCTTTATCTGCATCTGTCGGGACATGCATACTAGCATTTTTGTATGTGCTGCAAGCTACGTCAGCAATATATCTATCGTTACTGAAATTATTAACACCCGAAATTCCGATTAAAGCAGTTGCTTTTTGTTTAAATGCTGATTTTTATAATAAATTTCAATTACTTCGAACATTCAATTAATCATCGTAATGTTTCAGGTTCAAACATTAGTTAAGGAATTAAGAAGGATAACTCTTCTCTGGGATGAACTGTGGTTAGGAACTCTTGCACAACACCAATCTGAAATCAATAAAAGACAACAGCAGTTGGAATATGAGATAGAAAAAGTCAACGATAATACTAGTTTGGATAAAACAGAAAAGGCATCACTGATCATAGAAAAGCACAGAATTATAATAAAACCAATTGTTTTTGTTCTAGAACAATTACTAGATGTTACTAGTGTTACTGCGGAAACTCCACATGAAAAACAATTCCAAGAAAAATATTTAGACGACATTGTTAATGTTCTAAAGAAACTGAAAGATCCTGACCATCCCGAAAACCCCCAAGAATCGCTACTTCCCCTGAAGCAGCTTCAAAAGAAATTCCAACAAAAGTTCCATAAACGAGCTTCATATGCCTTAAAAATGCAAGACATCAGTCCAGTGCTTTTTGCTCTTAAAGACACAGTGATATCTATGCCGGGGCTTGCTTCAATAGCAAAGAAAAATGTCACAATTTCTCACGTGTCCAATATAGTTTCTATCCTTCCCACAAAGACAAAACCTAAAAAATTGGTATTTTATGGTTCTGATGGGCAAACCTATACATATCTTTTTAAAGGATTAGAAGACTTACATTTAGACGAAAGAATAATGCAGTTTCTTAGTATCGCCAACACAATGATGGCTCAAATAGCAGATCCTTCGGGTTCCAACTTTTACAAAGCTAGACACTACTCTGTTATTCCTCTGGGACCAAGATCTGGGTTAATATCTTGGGTCGATGGTACTATTCCTGTGTTTTCTTTGTACAAGCGGTGGCAACAACGTGAAATCGCGAAACCAACCTCCAAAAACTTCGGCGGTAACGCGACCGCGAGTGTTTTACGTCCGTCTGAACTGTTTTACAACAAGCTGAACCCACTGCTGCAAGAACACGGGATAAAAAATATCGATAACCGAAAAGAGTGGCCTCTGAGCACCCTAAAACAAGTTTTAACAGAACTAATGAATGAAACGCCCAGTGATTTGTTATCGAGGGAGTTTTGGTGTAACTCTGTGAGTCCCGATGTATGGTGGCAGGTGATCAAACGGTATTCTTACTCGATTGCTGTTATGAGTATCATTGGTTACATCATCGGTTTGGGTGATAGACACTTGGACAATGTGTTAGTTGATTTGACTAGCGGAGACGTCGTGCATATTGACTATAACGTTTGTTTTGAAAAGGGAAAGACGCTACGCGTTCCAGAAAAAGTGCCATTTAGACTGACACCGAACATAAAAGACGCCTTGGGGGTGACAGGAGTTGAGGTGAGTGTTTTTTTTTCTTATATTTATTATTTGTATAATAACAAAATGGTTATTTAAGCACACATAAGATTTTCAAACGAAAAATTATTTGAAATTTTGGAGAATTGAATTTTTTTTAAATTTCTATTTGCAATATTTTTAAGATTAAACTTGCGTAATGTTTCCTAGTTTTCCTAATGTTTCCTACTAAACAGATATCGTTTAATAATGACTAGGGCCTTATAGATATTCTACCACTATCCAACTGGATGCGCCATTTAAGATTTTTTTTAACATCCCATTTATTTACAATCTGTAATAAGGATTACAGTTTTACAGTAAGCAAATTGTTTAATTAGATTACAAGAGCAGTGACTGTCCAGTGACAATACCCTATTAAATCATAATTTTAGTACAAAATTATTTGTGACTCTAATATAATGTATAATAAAAAAAAATTTAATTTATCAATTTAAAATATTGTTGGTAGATTGCTTGGAGTAAGAAGCTTTAGCCTTCTGTTTGCCTGGAGCTTCATAAGGTTCTTCGCTAGCAGGTTGGGGTGGTTTTGCAGTCGTCTGTCATATTTTTGGGAGTAACTGACAATTTCTTCTTTGACAGTTTTCATCTGAAGATCGCGATTTATGAATTCATTGGGCATGTACCACGGTTCATTTGTGATAATGCGGAAGGTCTTCGATTGGAATCTCTCCAGTATGTCGATATTGCAGATCCCCACATTTGGATCCCATAGCTTTATATTGGCTTTATCACTGACTTTTTTACTAGGATTTTATTGTACAAATTCAGTTGTGATCTTTTTCTTATTAACCAGTACATTCAGACCCAACTGTTTTCTTTTCGTGAATATGTGTTTCTTCCACGTTAATCTGCGTTCCAGGTGCATACCTAAGTATTTTACATCATCCTTTTGTTGTAGACTTGCTTTCGTTAACTTTAATTCGCCATGTTTGTAACCAAATCTTTATTTTGTCGAGATTGGTCTGGAACAGTTGTGAGGCGATATACGGGTTCGAGTGAGCTGCAAGGATTGCTGTGTCGTCTGCGTATGTGGCTGTGACGATGTTTTTACTTGTAGGAAGATCTGCTGTGTAAAGTAGGTAGAGAACAGGTCCAAGGACACTACCCTAGGCTAGTCCAGCTTTATTTGGATATTAGTTAGTGCACTGATCCTTTACTTTTACAAGGAAATGCCGGTCGGAAAGATAGGACTTGAGGATTAGAAAGTACACTTCATCTAATTTATATAACGATGCACGTCATCGGCGCCATAGCCTGTGACGTCATATGATACCAACACGAAATATTTAGGGTTTAGCTGTGTTCTTTTTAGAAATCACTTTACCGAGTACACTGGCATTACAGCCACTAGGCATATTTTATTATATACGCCTAGAAATAATATTTAAAAATTTCTATTAATGTTAACTTAAAGAAATACACAATAATATGTTTCATTTAATTTGTATAAATCCATTATAAAGAGTTTTTATCAAGAATATTTGTTCGGAACACACTGTAACTGTAATCGAACGAAGGTAAAATTTTGGCATAAATTGGTAACACTTATTTGATAGTTGCGGTGTTGACACTTTTTGTACTTTATTATTTTGAATTTTAAAGTGAATACCTCTTGTTTTATATTTTTCCCTATTTAATAAAATCTGTTCTTTTTAGAACAAAATTAGTGTGTTTTATTTCAAAAAGGTCACGTAAGAATTTAAATAGTCGTTGTAAAGAAATGGTAATACTTTTGCAATAATTATCTGACCTATTTGAGTATTGCAATAATTATCTGACCTATTGAAGTATAGTTGAGAGGGAGGACTTGTCTTATGTTGTATAGAAGGCCAGTGTGCCAGACTTTATCAATAGCCTGCGAGATATCCAAAAAGGCTGCAGAACATTATTTCTTCTCTTCTAAGGATTTGTTTATGGAATTGCAGATTCAGTGAATTTGCTCAATGGTAGCAGGCTGTTGTCTAAATCCAAACTGGTGGTTGGGTAGTAACTGCTGTTGTATGAAGATTGGCTGTAATCTGTCTAGTAATAGTTTTTCAAAAACCTTTGACATCACTGAAATTAGACTTATAGGTCTATAGGTCTTAACTTCTTCTACAGATTTGCCTGGTTTGGGTATTAAAATGATCTGTGCAACTTTCCACAAAAGGAGATAGTAGCCAGTTCTTAGGATTGCGTTAAAAATCTGTGTTAAATATTGTACACCTTTCTTGGGAAGTCTTTTAGAATTCTTGCAGTGATTAAGTCGAACCCTGGGGACTTCTTTGGATTCAGATCTGTTTGGATTTGGTTGAAAACTTGTTTGGCTGTCAATTTATTCAATAATGCTTCTAGTTGGTATGGAGATTCTAAATACGATCGTATATTATCTTCTGCATTGGGGTTGTTGTTTTGAGTATGTGGTTGGAACACTTCCTCCAGGTATTTCGCAAAGACTGCTGCTTTTTCTATGTTACTTTTTGCCTATTGTACGTTACTGGCCCGAATAGGCGAATTAGAAAGTTGTGGTCGAATAATTTTTCGTGTTGCCTTCCATAGTCAGTATTCGGAGGCTTCCGTGGCAGATAGATTTTGTAAATATCGTTTTATATCATTGTTTTTATTGTTGTTTAACAATGTTTTTAATCTTGCTGTAGCTTGGTTTAATCTATTTTTATCCTTAGTAGCTCGGGTTCTTTGTCAGATTTTCCTTAGTCTTCGTTTTTCTGCGATTTTTTCTTTTATTTCTTTGGGTAAGTCTTTTTGTACGATTCCTTTTGTTTGTGTAGGTGTTGACTGTCAGCCGGCTTCCTGAATTATCCTATTTAATTGATCTACTGCTTGGTCAATATCGCCATCAGATTTTAGTGGGATATTGAGATCCAGTCTGCCATCAAGAATAGCCCAGAATTTAATCCAATTGGTATATTTATTACTATGGCCGAGGTTCTGTTTCTAGGATATTTTTGGATATCGTGACCAAGACCGGAGAGTGGTCGGATGAAAGATCGAAACAAGATTGTGATGTCTGTGATTCGAGTGGTATTCCTTTGGTCACACAGAAATCGACCAAGTCTGGAATTTTGTTTGTGTTTGTGGGCCAGTATGTGGGTTCGCCAGTGGATGTGTATTTAAGGTTGTTGGTTTTTATTGCCATATATAATTGCCTACCTTTCGGGGTTATTAACCTGGATCCCCAGTGAGTGTGTTTTATATTATAATCGCCGCCTGCTAAAAATATATTTCCAATGGTGTTGAAGAATTCTTGGTATTGATTTTTGGCTATGGTATGTCGTGGTGGACTTTATTGCAGTTATTGTTACAGGACCGTTACAGTCTCCTATGCTAATATTTGTTGCTTGTATATAGTCACTTTTAAACTTATTTAATTCATGGTTTTTTAACGATGACTTGATTATGATCGCAGTTCCTCCATGTGCAGTGCCATCTGGATGTCTGGTGTTATATATTACATATTTGGGGATTTTCAGATAATTTTTCAGATAACTTTTCAGATAACTAACACTATTTCTAAAGTGTGTTTCAGAGATTAATATTATGTCAATGTTGTGTATTAATATAAAAGCTTTAACCTCTTGAACATGATTTGTTAGCCCGTTGGCATTCCAAATAGCTATTTTTAAGAAGTTCTTTTTTTTTTGTTAGTTTAGTGACGACGGTGGTGAGCAGATTGAGCAGATTTAACATTGTACCCATGTGTTCCATCAGGACTTTTAACATATTCTTTAGTTCAGCCATGTCATTTGAAATGGGAATAGTGAGAGTAGTTACTTCTGTTTGATTCGTATTACTATTAGAAATTTCTTGTGAGTTAGTAACCAATTTTGCATAGGTAACTCCCGCTTGAACATGCTGTGGGTGAATAATCGGCATGTTAGGCTTGGGTCTAATCGTTGCTAAATTTTTTTGTTTGTAGCTCCTTGTATACTTTACAACCTTTGTAGTTTGCTGGGTGGTCTCCCTCGCAGAGTACACACTTGACGTTGACACTTCTTTCTTTTCTAGTGCATTTCTCTGTTGCGTGATCCCCAGTGCACTTCACAGCGTGGTCTAAGGTGGCAGTATGACTTGGTATGTCCGTATCGTTGACATTGAGCATTGTGGTATCTGTCTTTTTTGGTACGGTGGTTCAATTTTAATCTTATGGTTTAATAGAAACTCTATGTCATATATATTTTTTTTATTGTCAGAAGGTTCCAGGTCGATGAAAAACTAGGATAACTGTTCTTTAGTTTTAGGGTGTTTGATTTTCCAAATATTTCTAACAGAATGACATTTCTCTTCTATTTCCTTTTTTATAAGATTTTTGTCCATCGAGTAATGCATGTTCTTAAGAACAACCCTGAAACTTCGCTCGTTTTTTATCTGATAAGTATGAAACTCTGTCTTCTTTTCCGTTAGGGCTTTTGTTATTGTACTATAGTAGTCAGCAATTTTTGGCTGGACTTTAACTCGATCGGAGCTAAGAACTTTTAATTCGTAATTGTTTTTAACGATTTGGTTTAGTAATTGGATAAGTGGGGGTATGTTTAACCCCCTTAGTAAATATTGGAGGCGGTTTCGTTATGTTCTCTTTTTCACTTGAGCTTTCATTATCATTCATTTCATCATCTTTTGATTCACTATTTAGTGCATCGAATCTGTTACAAGTTGGACTAGTTCGTTGCCTTTTGTTGGAATTTTCGAGTTTTTTCCACATTTCGGATTGATTTAGAGGGGTGGAAGGTGGGTTAATACATTGGGGCTGCTGTAAGGGTTGACTCGTAGTTGGCTCAAAATTCATCTTAAGCTGGCTCAAAATTGACCTTTTAATCGCATCATAGACTCACCGATCGCTTGAAACTCTGGTGGATTCAGTGCTGCAAGAAACGTTTCTGTGAGTTTGGGCAGTAGAGGTAGAAGGAAAAAGACTTTGTAAAGTTTGTCAAATCCGGATCAGTTTTTTTGGCTGCACTGTATTATCAACCAGATATAAATTGCCTAGTAACCAAGCGAATCTGTTACGTGACATAGTCCAACTGATGAAAGGGTCTCGTATTGATCACG